GTGTTGGTTTTATTATGTTCTTTACTTTTCTACATATTTAAGATATTTCAAATAAAAAGTTTCACCTAAAAAAAAAAAAAGACCACTTTGTAAAGTTGACCTCCACCAACTTTTATATAAAATAAAAATGGGAAGGAGAGGAAAGAAGAAAAGGGTTAGCATATATAAATAAACACATGCATATAACAAAGAGAAAATATGCAAAGCTACCACAGTCCTGGTTTCTGTAATTGGTCATGGTAATAGTCGATAGCTATATTTCACTTTCAGCTACCTGTTCCATATTTTCCTTACCCACAGCTCTGGGTTCTTTACCTGGTGGAGTGATCCAAGCCTTCCTTCCCAAGGAGCCTGAATCCTCAATCATCCTGCATTTTTCTGGTTCCTATAGTTTTCCATTAACCTTCACTGTTGGCATGGAGGTTTGAACAGAAACCTTAGATAGTTTCCGGACTTTAGAATCATTTGCTGGCCCAGGCAAACCAGCAAACTTTCTCACCACCCCGTGGTCTGCAACCGCACTTTTTCTAACATAGGGTTCTCTAACATAGTCCTCAATGTTTCTGCCGTAGCAGCAACAATTCCCTTGATAATTGGGATCAATCACAACAGCCAATAGATTAATGTTTTTCACCTGTTGGTTCAGTGGTAAAAGGAGTGGAAGATGGCCAGGTGGCAGTCTGTGGTAGGCAGAATTCTAAGATGGACCCCATGATTTCTGCCCCCTGGTGCACACACCCTGTATAATTTCCCCTTGCACATTGTAAATATAATTAGGTAGCACTTCCATTATTATGCTATCTGGCCAAAGGGATTTTGCAGGTGTAAGTAAGGCCCCTCGTCAGTTAACTATAATCCTAAAGGAGATTATCCTGGGTGGATCTGACCTACCTAATCAAGCAAGTTTTTTTAAAACAGAAGGGTACTCTTGCCAGTCTGGAAGAAAAACAGCCATGTTGTGAGAGGAGGGGCCATGTGGCAAGGACTGAGAGTGACCTCGAGGAGCTGAGAGCAGTCCTCAGCTGACAGCAAAAAAACAGGGACTTGAATCACACAGCTGCAAGGACTCGTATTCTCCTAACAACCATATAAGCTGGGAAGATGATACAGAGCCTTGGATGAGATCACCATCCTGGCCAACATTTTGATTTCAGCCTGGTGACACCCTGAGCAGAGAGCTTAGCTAACTTGTATGTAGACCTTTGACCCACAGAAACCATGAGATAAATAAATTCGTGTTGTTTTCAGCCGCTAAATTTGTGGTTATTTGTTATGCAGCCAATAGAAAACTAATACACAATCTCATCTTCCAATTCGATGAAACTATTGTTGGTTTCCTGGTGGAAGCATTCTCCTTTTGGATACTATTGGGTTGTCGGAAAAGTCATGACGTATTTCTTATGTTTTTCGTTGCAAAAATGCATCATGACTTTTCTGACAACACAATAAGACCTCCAAACCAGCAGAGCTCAAAGTTGCCAGGACAGGAAGCAAAATGTCTGCAAATGGGTTATTAGGTGTAATAGGGAGCGAAGCCACTCCCAATTATACTGCTTGTATTCTGGCTATAGGAGAGACAACACCATATAATGTTTTCTGATCTGAAGCATATATTACACCCTAATAAGACAGAGCCCTATTCTTTTAGGATGTTGTCTATCAACTAGTGCCATAAAGAGTCCTCAATAGCCATTTCACCTCTCATTAGGCCAGCCACTTCCAGGTGATGGGGTATGTGCTAAGACCACTTAATTCCATGGGGTGAGTCCTAGTGCTGCACTTCTTTGCTATGAAGTGAAGTTTCTTGATCAGAAGCATGCTGTATGGAAAGCCATGACTGTGGATAAAGCATTCTGTGAGTCCGTCGGTGGTAGTGCTGGCTGAAGCATTAAGGTCAGAAAAGGCAAATCTCTACCCAGAATATACGCGGCTTGACAATTAAGTTCGCGAACTTGTTGCAACAATGTTGCTAACTTTTTTTGGTATCAGAGGGATTATTCATTATGAATTTGTACCAACTGGACAAACAGTTACCCAGGTTTACTATTTGGAAGTGCTGGAAAGGCTGTGTGAAAAAGTTAGACGACCTGAACTTTTCGCCAACTATTCATGGCTCTTGCATCATGACAATGCATCAGCTCACACGGCACTGTCTGTGAAGGAGGTTTTTAGCCAGTAAACAAATAACTGTATTGTAACACCCTCCTTACTCACCTGATCTGACCCCCAATGACTTCTTTCTTTACCCAAAGATAAAGGAAATGTTGAAAGGAAGACATTTTGATGACATTCAGGACTTAAGGGTAATATGATGACTGCTCTGATGGCCATTCCAGAAAGAGTTCCAAAATTGCTTTGAAGGATGGACTAGGTGCTGGCATTGGTGCATAGCTTCCCAAGGGGAGTACTTCGAAGTTGACTGTATTGATATTCAGCAATGAGGTATGTAGCACTTTTTCTAGGATCGGTTCGCAAACTTAATTGTCTGACCTCATATGTCTATTTCCATGAGAATGAATCTCTGCACCTCCATGATACAAGTTCAATGTCATCAGCCTGCCACTAGGTGGCTGGCTTGACCCCAGGGAATGGTGTCATATTAGGGACTCAATGTTGGTCTCTATTCAGCAGTAGCAGTAGCCAGGCCAGCCTTAACAATGGAAATTCCATGTTGTTGACTCCATACATGGTATCCATCCTTGCCACCATGGCCCCTTTGTTCATGGGCCCACTGAACTAGCACTGCAGTAGCTGGAGACAGAAGCTGACTGACATCCAGAGTGTTATTTTGTCCACCTCATTATTAAGTGCCTCCTCTGCAGTGGATGCCCTTTGGTAGGCATTCACATGGAACACAAATAGCTTCA